CCCCAAAACCCCAAAACCCCAAAACCCCTTGTTGACAAAATCTGATCCAAATTGAAATTACTGTTTAAATTAAATCAATGTTTCTAAATTTAGCAGAATTAAAGCTATATATATCAACAAGATATATAAAATCTATAATAATTAATTCTAATATTCATTATGCAACTTGCTTTTGTTCTACTTTTACTTCTAAATCTCTCATCAGCTAAAATCTTTGCACCATATTGTGGTCCAAAGACTAGAGACATCAGATTTTGTGAAAAAGATGAAGATTGTAGATATTCAGATGAATATTGTGGAACTGAATAAATTTGCCAAACTCAGACGAGTCTTTATGATATGGATCCTTGCAAGGACTTCATATATAATCCTTCTGACGATGACGTTCGCTGCGCTTAAGTTTTGTGCCCTGAAAATACATACTGTAAAGAGGGAGTTTGCTACAACAACTGAGTAAATAACATGAAAACTGTTCAAACAATGACTTAAGGATTAAAGTTCCTTTTGAAATTCATGAGCGATTCGTTACTAATTTGAGATTTTATTTTAAGATTTTAAGATTTTTTATCTCACATTTATTACTATTAATCTCCTACCCTACTTAAGGCAATTAGATTCACATGAACATATTTCTGCTGCTTTTACTCTCGTCACTTTGGATGATTATTAATGCTAAGATATTTGCACCTTATTGTGGAGTAAGACCCTTGTACATTAGAGGCTGCAAGAAAGATGAGGATTGTGCATTCTCTGATGAATATTGTAGTCTTGAAAAATACTGCAAAGTTTTAGTAGTACTCTATGTTAATAATCCGTGCTAGAACTACTTAAATACAGTTGAACAGACTTCGGATATATTATGCAATTAGGTTATGTGTCCAGTTGGTTGCTACTGTGAAAGAGGTGCATGCTATATGACTCCACCCTGATGTGATCGAAAATTCCTATACTTAAGTTTGTGATTCTCAATTATAAAATACTAAAAATCTTATTTTTTAATCTAAAAATAATGTTTAAAATTAGGGCTTTTGGGGTTTTGGGGTTTTGGGGAGATCGGAAGAGCACA